CGCCGGCTCCTCCGCCGCCGGCTCCACCGCCGCCCGCTCCTCCACCACTTCCCGACCCCTCACAGGAACCGGCACCAGAGTCCTGTCCAGAGCCTGCTCCAGGTCCCTGTCCGGAGGCGACCCCAGAACCAGCTACAGAACTAGACACTGAACCGACCCTAGAACCAGCCCCAGAGCCGGCCCCAGAGCCGGCCCCAGAGCCAGTTCCAGAACTGGCCACTGAGCTGACCCCAGAACCTGTCCCAGAGCCGGCCCCAGAGCCTGCCCCAAAGTCGGCCCCAGAGCCAACTCCAGAACCAGTCACAGAGCCGACCCTAGAGCTGGCCCCAGAACCTGCCCCAGAGTTCTGCCCTGAGCCGGCTCCAGAGTCTGGTCCGAAACCGAGTCCAGCACCATGTCTACTGCAGTGTCCGGTGGTCCCTCGAGAGAGGGATCTAAAGACTTCGCCATTGCCGTCACCCCGAACACCAGTGACGTGGTCCAGAATAAAGGTAAGAAAAAGACCCCCGAGGTGGAGGAAAGAAGCCAGGCGAAGTCAGGTGGTTATTGAGCTTAGGGGACTCCTAGTATCCCTTGCATCCCATTTGACTGCCATCCACTGACCAAGATGCTCAGAAAGATGCAGGAATAGGGGAGCCAGGAGGAGTGGGAAGCGATTAGGAGGCGGGAAGCAACATGTGGGAAGCAAGAGTGGATTTTGGGGGGCTAGGAATGGAGGTGACAGAAGGGGTGGGAGTCGGAGCAGTTTTCCCCATGTGGAGAAGAGACAGTGCGATGAGCGCCTGTCTGGGAAAAGAGGGGGAAGATGCCTTCAGGAAGCGCAAGGGACCTGTTTGGGGCTGGTCCGGGGTACACAGAGGATGGGATTGAATGGGGACGGTGGGACACACTTCTTAGTCGTGGTCACTGCCGCAGAGGCCCAAGCTGCGGAGCTGCCGCCTACTTGGCCCCCTCCCTGCCATGAGGAGGGGGCGCCCAGGCTGGGTCGCAACTGGCGACGGTCCAGGGAGGGGCTTGGCGCCTCTGCGGGCTGCCGGGTACTGGTACTCTCGGTGGGGGATGAGGGGATGGGCGGCGCCCACGCCCACGCGCACTGCAGGGGAAGGGCAGGGTTCGCTAGGAGGAAGGGGAGAGCATGCGTGTGTCGAAGCCACCATTCCATCTGTCTGCAGGATTTCCCAGCAGGTAGTCGCAAACAGTGATACAGTGATGTGCCGCGTCACAAGCCCGCAACTGGCATCCCACACCAGGGCCAGTTGGAATGGTACAGGAGTCCTGGTTTAGATACAAGAAAATAAGAGTTGGGATTTGAGAGCGTATGAATGGGAACCCTCATCTCTACCAGTCTACAGAGATACCTTCTAAACCATTGCACTTAGCCAGTGAAAAATGCGTCGAGGGTCCTCGGGCATCCACCCAAACGGGAGGAGGGAGGGAGGTTTTTGGTATTTATCCTGGATCTCTGAAACCTCATCAGCCTGCTTTTCAGTGAGAGTCTTTTCTGCTTTCGCTGTGCTCCCCCTACTCTTTCTTTCCTCCAAACTTCGTTCCACAAAACAGTGAAAATCACGATAATGCTTACGTACACTTCAATATAGCTTACCCTGGGAAAACACAGAGAAACGAGCAAATGAACAACACACCAACAATGCCAGTCCATCCTGCTGTTTGGCAGGGCAAAGGGACAAGGCTCCAGAACCCTTCCGCTGAGGACCGCACACTTGTAGAATGTAGAATGCGGGGGTGGAGGCGGGAACAGAGATTGGCACCACGAAATGGAAGCGCTGGTTGCTTCCTGAGTTATTAGTAGGAAAGCTTGAGTTTGCAAAATATCTGCAGTGATAAACGACTGAAAAATAGGAAGTCTAAAGGGAAAAGTTTCACTGAAGACAAAAAGTGCAGAGGTTTAAAAAATAAATGAATAAAATAGGCTGGTAGGGGACTCAGACTTTTTTTTTTTTAATTCAATACTCCCACTCTCACAAGGGGGTGGATCCTTCCCCTTCCTGCAGATACCTTCCCTTTCCCTGCTGAGATCTCAATAAAGGGAAGGGTGGGGCAGCTCCACACGGTGGGTCACACTAACCCTGGGGCTTGCTCTGGTCTTTTTGGAAGATTTTACATTTAGCTGGTGGGAGAGAGACCAGCAGGAATCACCTGATCAGTGGCCATCTTAAGTCAACTTTGGGGAACCTGGCCGGGAAACTGACACCTAGTGACTTAATTACCAAGATGGCCAGCTAATACTCTTTGGCCTCTGGAAGGCTGATTAGAGGCCCAGAGTCTCCTCACCCTCCAATTTTCCCCACCTTCAATCCTGAATAAAAATCTTCCTGTCAAGCTGGTAGGATATGTTCTGAAAACGCCTGTTGCCAGACTGACTTGGAGGATCAAGGCAAGGGGCATCAGGTTAGCTTTCTGTATATAATGTCCATTCAGACATGCTGGACTGCTGTCCCACAGACACTTGACAGCACTGCAAGGAGTCCAGGGTCCCAGAGGTTTGATTTTGCCTGACCATCCATCAAGAAAGCCATGAAGATTAACTAATCAATGGCTCTGGAGGATTTTGAAGAATGCAAAAGATCTAGTTAAATATGCTCAGATTGCTAGGAACAGAACCCTTCCCCAATACCCTCCATGTTGCTCTGTAATTGCTCTCTGAGCAGTTGAGAATATCTGATCTTCAGTGATAGGACCATTCTCTGCAGCATCCTCTTCAATCAAGTAGCAACTGCAACCAGCTGACTTGAATCTTAACATTCAAGGTAAACAGGTTGCCATCTTAGTTGGAGTGGCATTGTTCTCAAACACTGCCTCCTTGAGGAAAATATGGGGGAAAACAACTACACACACACACAATATCAAGGAACAAAACAAAATTCCATACAATAAAATCCACTTAATTATCATGAAACTAGTATAATAATTCGAAGGATGAAATTAACAAAGCCAAGTGTTTGAATACAAATGCAAACTTCTTCCAGTTAATTTCATCGACTGGTACTGCAGTAAAAATACAACATCTTCCAGCCTGTCGTCTGTTTTCTTTGGGGATTTTGGGACTTGCTGTTTGGAATTCTGTACCAAGTGTGTGGGTAGTGACTAAGAAAGGGGGGCTCATGTTTTCTTTCCAAATAGCTATCAAGGTTATGCAGTCTGTGAACCAAACCTGTCTATTCCTTCCTTTCTAAAATGTTTTGATTCCCAGGAAATGAGCCATGGTCTCCCTCCTGTTGGCGGCAACTGTAAGTAAGGATGTGTGAATTGGTTCTTTAACAATGCTATACTCTCTTGGGGGCTTGGGGGGCTTATATGAAGTGGATCACATTTTTCTCCCCTCAGCTGTGCTTGAGGAAAGACAGTTTATATTTTTATTCACTGGATTTTGACCAGCTATGAAATTATAATCATACTATACATACAGCAATCATACTATACCAGCAATCAATGAAAATCTTTTATTTGAGGAGGGAGGGGTCTGTATATCCCTTCTAATGATTACAAAGTACTACTCCAAAATCAGAACAGAACATTTTTTTTTGCCCACAAAACTGGTGTTTTGGACACATGTTTTCTTGTAAAACAGCAAGCATTTATTTATATCATGTCTGGCAATTCCTACCCAAATATTTTATTATCTTACCTATTTGTGAGCTTCCCAGAAGTAAGTACTGTCTTTCTCAGACCTGGTACATGCAGCCCACCAGGTTTTTGCTCAATAATTAGTTGCTGGAACTTGAAACCTATTAATTCCATTTCCAGTGACGTAGATGCTGCTGCTGTGAATGAATAAAAATTCATTCTCATTGGTTTCAGAGTGAGAAGTAAATGCTTATTTAAATAGCCTGGAATATATAGCTCTTAAGGAAATGCAGTCAATCTTTCCATTTTCATAATGGATATTGGAACCATAATTAAGAATAAAATTATTATAACACCTTTTTAAAAATGGCTTGTAAAGTGTCCTTATCCCATGCAGTCCCAGCAGTAGCAGACTAATGGTGATGTTGTTGGTTTCAGGAGTAATAAATTTTTTCCTAAGTGCACAGAATATCTGCAGTGACTGTGAACAGTTTTGGGAATATAAATTTCAATGTTTAACCTGTTGAAGGTCAGGACAAAATTATTTTCTTTTTTTTCTTAGGTTCATTCCCCCTTCTTTGCCAGCCTTTGATGAAACCATCTGACTTATTTAGTATATTCTGAGAGCTCCTGAGCATTTGCTGCAGGATGTTTGAGAAAAGATAATGAGGCATTTGGTCAGTGGTCTTTCCTTTCCAAGAGCACTCTTCTTAAGTGTTTATAAAAATCTATGATTTGGATTTCTGCAGATGGGTAGCCCAAAAGGAAAGGTTGAGCCTTTATCCAAAGTGCTTCCCAGGAAAGGGTAAAAATCCATAGAAGTCAGGAAACCATTCAGAGACATTGTAATAAGGATTATTTAATCTATTCTGCTAGTATGGCACTTTACAGTTTACAGAATGATTTCATCTGCATTATTAACCCTTTTATTCCCCTGAGGAAGGCAGCACGATAGCACAGGGCAAAGAAAACAGTTGACAGAAAATACTGTACAATGGTTAATTTATGTATTGTGGATATTTCTGGAATATTCAATACAAGGCTTTCTGTGACACATAAGATCCTCATTTGTCTAAGGAAAGTCTTTTTAGCTGACATTTCATTAGCTCTGATTTTTTTTCCCAAAGCAGTGATTGCTGCTCCACTTCCCAGGCTCCCAGAGGGGGCCAGCATAGAACAGGAGCCTCACAAGGAAAGAGAAGAAGCACAAGCCCTTGAACCTATTACCCACACACAAAAAAGACCTTTTTTGGAAAATGAAATAAATAGAAATCCTCCTGAATGATAGGATATTCAACCTTTCCAATGCCTGCTGACTGTAATTCCCTCCGTGGGAAAAAAAATGTTTTAAGTATTTAAAAAAGAAAGAATGCAGTCATTCCTAGATGGAGATGCTACACCCTCATCAAAGCAAATAAACCTTATTCTCAAAATAGAAAAAATATTATGAATTTTTTATAAGGAAAAGAAAGGGACAGTCACTGCAGATAATAAAAGTTATCTCTCCTCCAAAAATTTTTAAAAGAAAGATAAGAAAGGAAGGAAAGAATTCTAAAGGAACATCTTCCCTTCACCCCCTCCAAAGCTCATGAAGTTTCTATCCCCCTAAATAAAAATTATGAAAAGAGAAATAAACATCTTAAATTAAATAGTATTTCTAATTTTCAAAATATTCATGAAATTTTCAACTTTATTTGCACTACATGTCCCATGCATAATCCCTGGTGAAAATTATAGGGACAAAAATAATTCTTCTAACAGGGAGGCCCACAACCTCATCAAAGTTCCCTAATATTATTTCTTTCAATTCAATGAGATGTCAAAAATAAGCAAATCCTGGGTCAGGGATATAGCTCAGTTGGTAAAGTGCTTGCCTCACATGCACAAGGCCCTGGGTTCAATCTCC